CAACAACGACACCCGATTGGATATCGTTGTCGCTAATAATGTGGACGACAATGTGAGTGTCCTTCTTGGATTCATTATTATAGGTTTCATGAATCAAATTGCACTCACTGCTGGCCATGGTTCACGACCACAATCGGTTTTGATTGCTGATTTTAATAATGATTCTCGAATGGATGTTGCGCTTGCTAATTCAGGTTCTCACACCATCACAATTTTTCTTGGAGATGGCAATTATTCGTTTTCTAATCTAGCGACATATTCAGCTGGTTCTAAACCAGTGTCTATAGCTGTTACTCAAGGCACTAACAATTTGGGAACATTCCTCGGATATGACAATGGTACGTTCTCAAATGTTACTCTGATGCCGATGGGTTACGGATCAAACCCATTTTGTGTTCTTATTGGTGACTTTAACGATGACAGAAAGTTGGACTTTGCCGTGGCGAATGAGGGCACAGATAGTTTATCAATGTTTCTACAGACTTGTTAATTCGAAAACTCCTATCATATCTCTTTACGTAATCGATTTGATGTTTATTATGATATAAAGTATATTTATTGGGTTTTTGAGGTTGAGGAAGGTTATAGTAAATGTATGTTTTATTAATTTCCGTCTCTTCCTTGTATGAATTGATCTTAAACAGATCAAATATTTATCAATTTACGAATAAAATGTTTCGGAATGCTTCTGGCTCCTTCTTCAGTTCAGTATGTTAAAAGTAAGATTAGAATAAAATAAAAATAGCTTTCTTTTCTATTTACAAATCTGTCTAAACGTTTGTTTTTCTTTGATTTTCAAATAGTGGAACGGAAAGGCAAGACGATAATACTAGACCGTTTAATTATGACAAATAGTATTTGTCTTTCTCATGTATATGTTTTTTCAACGCTTATGATCTACTTTATTTTTATTATCGATTTGTGAAAAACTTTTATAACGATCCTCGAATTAGTGACTTATTTCAGTAGAAAAAATTACATAAGGAACTTGGCTACGGTTGAACTGTTTATAACAGCTTCATTAAAACGATTTTCAATTAGAGCAGTTAAAAAATACCAAACAAATTGAACAGAAACGGTGTATAAAACATCTTCTTTTTTTGTCATTTTTTATCGAAAATCCTATATTTTTGACAACCTTGATCCTCTAAGAATTCCTATATTTTTAAAAACGTGCAATCGGAGGCCAGTGAAGTCTAATAAATTTGTGCTACTGTTATCATTGCAATTAGCATTGTTATAAAATATACATAAACAGTATGTGGTAGTTACAATGTAATACATACAAGAGGAAAAAATATTTTTTGACCACAGCAAAATAAGACAAATGAGCACCAAATTTATTACATGTGAAATGAGCACAAAAAAATAAGACATTTGAGCACCAAAGCTATTTGTAGAAGAAATGAGAACAAGTATAGTATTTTAGAGGAAAAAAATAACATAGATAACGAATACAATAAAGAGCAAACAATTCATGGTAATAAAGCTGATCGAACTCTTTTCGATCTACCTTTTCCTCTCCGTTTTCCTAAAAGTTCTGAACGTGTTTTATCATTTATTTGATATTGTTTCAGTAGTATTGCTAAGCCAACTGAATGCTTGCATAAATATAATTTCATTCCCGTTGCACAAGTACATGAAACAAGTGGAGAAACTAGCCAGCATGACTTCAGTCAAACAGTAAATTCAGAAAAAGATGTTCATTGTTGTTGTTGATACATTTGTAACCAAACTGCTGGTGCTATTAATGAGTTTGATGATGGAACTATGTACCAAGAATCGAACCAATGTAGAATACTAATTTTATCAATACTGTTGGACCATTTAATTGAAATTAACTCTAAAGTGGTCGATATCGAAGGTTTTGTAACGAAATCATTTAGTAGAGAATTAGTTGATCAGTCATGAAGCATTTGTTCAATCTTTGGAAGAAACGATGATAAGTGTAATTTATTTCGAAGTGTATACTGTTGTTTGATTTTTCCATTTAATGACTCGCATCCATTATTCGTTGACGGTATATTTATTCCTGCACCCTCATACCTATAAGTGTAAATTTATTTTTAATTTCTTGTCACAAAACCAGGAATAAAACTTTTCTCGCCATAATGGTAGTTTTATAATCCATTGATCGTAAAAATATTCTTGAAAATGTTTAATAAGTGTATCACTGCTCCATTTTTTCATTAACAATGATGCACCGCATTGAAATAAAGAATCTGAAAAACTTAATTGTAAATCGTGTATATCAAGATCAATTTGGTTCCATTTATCTTTTGGAACTAATTTACGATGTTCACGGCATTTACGAATGACATGTGCCCAGCACATTAATCGTTTTGCTCCAGGAAAAAGATCCTTTTGAGCTTTTCTTATTCCTACATAGAAACTTTGTCATTCCTTGATAAAAAAAATATTGAACAAATTACCTGGTGCACCATCAGCCATAATAAAATTGATGTAAAATGGACGATTATTTTCTTGTGTTGATATTAATTGAAGTTGATTAAATAAATCTTTACAACAGATGGAATCCTCATCATTAGATACTAAAGCAATGGCAAATGGGTGAAAATGCCGATCTGCATCCAACGAACCAAATACTAACAATGGCAGCTCATTCCAAGTAAGTTTGTATGTAGCGTCGACCTGTAATAATGTAGTTAATGGTGTTTGACTTATTAATTTTTTAGTAGTAAAAAGAACGAAAATATCATGGATATTATTAATCGAATAATAAGGAACAAACGTTGCATGCAAATCATCAGCTTTATATTGATGATTATTACACCATTGCTAAAGTCATATACTGAAAAAATATCAGGATTGTTTTTTTCGTCGAACATAAGCGATCAAATTTGACAACTGACTAGTTGGTAATGAAACATTTGGATAATCCATAGATAATATAGTTTTAGTATGACTTTGTGTAAGATTATATTTGACATATTTTTCAACTGATGCACGTATTGGAGAAGATAAGCGACTTGTAGTATTACGATATTCATGACAGCGTGCATTTTTAAACGTTAAATTAATCGGCGTTGAATTAGTACTTGGAACACAAATTTGTATTTCGTATTGACATAATGGATATTTCCGATATTGACTACATCGATAATAATATGTAGTAGAATTAGATAAATTATACGTTCGATATTTTGACACTTGATGTTGTTTTGTTATGGCGTTAGCTTTATCGAGTGTGTTAACGATATCCAAAACTTGATACTCTTTGTTTGACATTTTATGTTGTTTAGCAGAAATTTTTACTATATCACACGCTTTATATATAAAAGTAATAGTCATTCGCATCGCCTAATTTATAAGGTCGTGATAAGATTAACCAATTTAAGCTGAGCCTATCACAAATCAATAGCTTGTTCCTTTAATAATACAATCTCGTTATTTAAATATAAATGAATGATCGCTTTAATATTATTATTTTTTTATTTAGTGCTCAAATGTCTTAATTATTTTTTTAGTGCTTATTTCACATATAACTAATTTGGTGCTCATTTGTCTTATTTTGTTGTGCTCAAAAAACATATCGTCCCATACAAGACATGCTTTATTTATTTCAAAATAATTTTCAAAGGACACCACTGGATAAGATCATAAATCTGCCACCCCTTAGCTGTGAATTTCAATATTCTAGAAAGATAGAGCTTGAAATTCTGCACATTTCTATGTATTTTGTTTGCTTCTGATGGTATGAAAAAAAAAGTTTTTTTCAAGTGAACTAACTTGGGGGTATATATTACTTTTATGAATTTCGGGCGATTAATATGCTACTTATATATTTTTTCATTCTTGTGTTCAGTATGAAAACTAATAGTGTAAATCGATGCAGTTTTTCAAGCTCTACAAAATGATATGTTGCTCAAATTTATCAGTAGCTTTTTAACCAGATTACATAGGTCAAATAAGTTCAATGTGATTTACATAGGAATAAACTTCTCATTCGTATTGAAACAGTATTTTAATATTAGCTAATCATCAACATTATCATAATCCTATAGCAGTATTTTTCGTTTATTGTGATTTTATAAATAGTAAAATTATCGGTATAATTCAATTGCTACGTTCAAAGTATGTTACTGAGATTATATTAATAAAGAAGGCTGTCTAAGATGTTTTATTCTCGAAAAAATTGAGTGTTTCTTCTTTGGAAAAAGATAAATCTGCTAGAATGTCATGCGATTGAACTTATTTGACCTATGTAATCTGGTTAAAAAGCTACTGATAAATTTGAGCAACATATCATTTTGTAGAGCTTGAAAAACTGCATCGATTTACACTATTAGTTTTCATACTGAACACAAGAATGAAAAAATATATAAGTAGCATATTAATCGTCCGAAATTCATAAAAGTAATATATACCCCCAAGTTAGTTCACTTGAAAAAAACTTTTTTTTTCATACCATCAGAAGCAAACAAAATACATAGAAATGTGCAGAATTTCAAGCTCTATCTTTCTAGAATATTGAAATTCACAGCTAAGGGGTGGCAGATTTATGATCTTATCCAGCGGTGTCCTTTTCTTTGTCTTTGTTCGTACGATATAGAACATAATCTAAATTCTTTTCGTTATGAAATATTTCATGAGCATAACGTTTATGTAACTTAAAACCAAAATGATTTTTAATTAACATCTTCCAAAAATAATTATCATTTTCAATTAATATATATTATTGTTTGCATGTTTTTGATAAGTTTATAATATCAATAAATAATAAATCTTTACATAAATGATATAAAATTTTATGAGGAAGATAATCTATACCCAGGTTAAAAGCCCACGATCGTATACGACCGTATACAACATTATATGACGAATAACGATAATCGTAGACGACCGGCGTGTACTGCAATCGTATACGGCAGAATACGTCTGCATATGATGGTCGTAAACGATCGTATCTTTGTCATTTGCTGATCTTAGCTGCAAAACGATTTATCGATAGTAATATATATGTAGATATACGATTTTATTGAAAAAACTTCATTTCTTTTTATCCTTGCAATAGGTAAATTGATAATAAATAATGATAATGTAGATAATATTCTTTTGATCAAAACTAACTGTAATAAAGACATCTCTATCAATATTCCAGGTTGATTTGACAATTGTTAACTAATTGTATCATCATTTATTAGATGTTTCAGTAAAATCTAACGGTCTCTTTAATTCGTATGATACATTAATTAGCAATTTTCTTCTCAAAACTCATAACGATTAATGTTTCTATGATAATCCCAATCAATGCATTAGAATATATCGTCGTTGTCGAATCAATGCTACGATCTATCGTTTCTTGATTTACCATAGACGCGGATCACTCAAAAAGTTAATTTGTTCAATATTCAAAAAGATAATGAAAACATTCTATTCAGTACCATTGAGCTTCTCTACTTGGAATAGAAAAAGATATGCTTTAATACATAAATAATAGTTCAAAGTATGTATTTAGTGATTATTTACTCTTTTCTAAATACCATGGTTTTTCCTTAAGGCAATCAATATGAATTTCTATGTATGTCATCCGTATTTCAACTTATGGCGATGTAAATTACTGTGAACAGCATATCAATTATTTGTATAGTAACTACTTTTTGTGATTCACTTGTTGTGCCAACAATCATCTTCATACAAGCATTGAAAATATGTTTAAATAAAAATTTTCATTTGAATCTAAATGATTTCACTTCTCTTAAATGAACGAAGGAAAGAAAAAATGATCGACGAGTCTCTATTTTCTTCGTCCGATCGAGCGAGAAAAGGATTTAAATAGGAAGTGTTCGACAGGCATGTTTTTCTTTTCCGTTACAGCATTCATATATATATATATATATATATATATATATATATGTTATTCGTGCTTTTCCTTATTTAATATTATCATTGATATACATAGTATATACAAAATGATCCAAGTAAGTTGTGACGGTATGCTTATACTATAATCATTCTAACTTTGTAGTTTCAGATAATGAAAATGTCGAGATCGATGCTATTGAAAATGACCATATGAAAAGTAAAAAGGCATCAAAAAGTACATCAGGCCAATTTTTTCATATGTAAGTAACATGATGAATAAATTTATTTCTTTTTTATATTTTAGGTTCAAATGCCTTAGATGGTATTGACAATCGTGTCAATGAATTGAATCGAAAATTGATAGTTATTCATCTAAACTCGATCAAAAATGGAAAAACTTTACTCAAAAATTTATCGTTTAAGTTCAACTGTTAATATTGTAAGATACTTATAAGAAATCTGTCACATTGCGCTTGCGTTCACATTTAAATCTAAATTGTAGGATGAATTTTCCCCGATTAAATAGCTATTAATCGCCGAATTCAATTAAAAATGGCTGAATAGACTACGAATAGGTTCATATCTCAATAACTTGGAACAGCAATGGATGAAAATATCCGATTATAATCGTTCAGTTTGTTATTCTACTTTCTTTTTATTATGAAAGTTCTTCTTTTTGGTTTTAGAATACACATGCTCTAGGGTCGTGCGTTGATCAATCAGGTGAACAATGTCAAGATAATTTAGTAAATTTTTCCGAATAATATATTTAAACTAAATCTATTTTGTTCTTTCTTGCTTCTATTCAAATGTTTAAAAGTATCGATTTGCTCGATGCTATGGCAAAAGACTATGGTGATTGCCCTCGAAAAATTCTACGAATAATTTTTACTTATAAACTAAAAAAATGTATTCTACCACTTGGTAAAGCACCACCTACTTAAGAACAATTCACAACATTCATTGGTACGCAAAAACTTTCATTTGACTTTCAACAATCATGAAATCTCATTTATCAGAAACAGTTCGCTTAAAATTTAGATTAGATTCGGTCAATTTGGTTTATTTTATAAAAGTTTACTACGACGAAACCTCGCCGATTTTTTAATTGATGAAAGGTGGCCAGAAAATGTTAAACAAACCCGACAATTACATAACACAATATAGTGCACCATGCTAACCAGTCAAATCATTCATGAATTAAATAAATGAACATTTGTTGTTTTTAATTGAAATTCATTTTTTCTATTATGAAACAAGATAATTTTTTATATATTAAGATGTTTGAAATAAATGCCTATTGGAGCTTGGTATAAACAAATTCGCTGATAGTGAAAGAATGAAAAAAAAACCTTTTTCTAGTACAACATTAATTGTATTAGATACAAACGAGTAAATGGTTTCATATAAGATCTTAGAAGGACCATCATAAAATGATTTACGACAGTGTGCAATCATATTTACGATCGTATACGACCAACGTAACACACCGTATTTCGTCGTATACGACGCGACCACTTACGGTCGTAATTCTGGAGTCAAGTAATACGACGAAATACGATCGTATTCTAGATTGTAAACGATCGTTTACGACCGTCGTAACGTTCATCCTGGGATAAAAATCAGCTAGAAGGAAAAATATGATAAATGTTGTTGAAAAATCTCTTTTAGAGGTATTTTTAGATATAGAAAAAATGAAGATGATGAACGACTATCTGTACCAAAGGAAAAAAAGAAGTTGAAAGACAAAAAAAATGGCTAGTTCGTTATAAAATTCATTCCTCATTATTTATTATCAATCAGCATCACTGCCATCCTATAAAAATCACCGGAAAAAAAATAAAAATGAATTTTTAAAAAAGGCGAAAGCTTACCGATAATAATATTTTTTTTTCACTTCTAAAACAAAAAGGAAATCGTTGACTTCTTCTTTTCTATTTATCACATATATATACGTACAAATATTCGTTGAGTTTTTGTTGAATCTAAGAAAACGAAAAATTTGAATATTTTGTTACAAACGCCTTAATACTAACCTTTTTAATCTCTTCTTCTATATCACTTTCAAGAATGTTTTTTCTTTGTTGTTCTAATAAATGTAAGTTTGTGTTAAATGATTTGAACAAATGAGAATGTGAATTAAATGAACCAATTTTTGATTTGTTCTAGAAAATAAAGTAAAGGGTATCCATTCTAAACATAAATATTTTATCTTACAACATAATCATACAAAGCAGCTAATATTATTCGTAATAATTTTGTTGATTGAATGACATCCCCAGGTGAGCTAATCCGACACCGGATTCCATCGGATCTCTTAGGATCCAACATTCCGACAAAAACCCCACGGATTCCTGGTTGAGGAATCGCTGTCGGATCCGACGGACAAAATCAATTTTCTTAATCAGGAGTGAATAAGCATCTGATGCCATCAAAATACAAGGGTTGTATGCTAGCGTCGGTTTCCGTTGAATTCCGACATAGGTTTTTCTCGGATTCCAGTGGCAGGGATCCGACTGTAAATCCGTTTCCAGGAATCCAACGGAATTTCATCGGCTTTATTAACATTTTAATGATATCGGATAGGATTCCCTCTGGGATCTTATCGGATCCTACTATCGGAATGATTCTTCTGGGGATCGTCATCGCTTTGAACATAATAACCAATTGCTTGTACAAAAACATATGCCGGATCAATTCTTGGGTACGAAAATAAAATAAACACTAAAATTTGTCCATGAAGTCGGTAAAAAAGAGTTTAGCTTTTTATGGAACGATCAATTCACATACCCATTTCGTTTATCTAAATCGATTTCAAATATGATAATGGTAACGAGTGCCGAAATAATTTTTTCGTCTATTTCCAACAATAAATAAAAACTGGTGTATGCTAATGATTCATGATACAAATTCATTGCTTCATCGTAAATACGAACAGCTGCAGCATCAGTTACCCAGGTCGATCAAAACGGACCACCGTAAAGCCGGGGTAGTATTATCGTATTCTATAGAACATACGGCCGTATTTGTATCGTATACAACCGTTTACTGATCGTTTTCTTCGGCAGGGGTAAATCAGAATAATAAGTTGTTAAACGAGTTATAACTTCTTGTTTTCTTGCGACAGCGACCATTTTATTTTATTTTTGTATGTAATTTAATCAATATTTATGTTAATATACCAACTCACAGCAAGGATCAATTGTATTATTTCACATCCGACAAACAAAAAACTACATCTTACCGAAAAGCGAACCAATCAATTCATGCGAATTATAAAAGATGTCATTATGAAGAACTATCCATAAGGTGTGGTACTTCATGATAACAAATGATTCTAAAATAATGTATGATACCCAAGCAGACAAAATTTTTCAAACTTGCGTTTAAACGCGTTGTCAGTCAAAAAACGCGTTTAAATCCATAAAAAAAGAGACAAAGTGGTCGTTTTTTCATACTCGAGAACCTTAATTATGATCCCACCATGGATAACGACATTGACACAAACGACCACTTTTCTCCTTTTTTTCTTTGTATTTAAACGCGTTTAAACGTATGTTTGAACAATTTTGTCTGCTTGGGTAGTGCATCAGGCGATAAAATATTTTTAAAGCACAAATTCAATAGCATGCCATGGAAAGCATCGGCTTCCATTATCTTATCTCTATAAGATTATAAAATAGTTCATTGATTTTTTATTCATATATTCTTGTTCTTTAACATGAAACTGCAGCTTCAAGAAAATATTTTCTCATTAGATAAATAGGAAGTAAATCGAGAATATCGATCTATGATTTACGTCTAATGAAAAACATTTATCTAATTGAAATTCATAAAAAAATTTTATTTTTTTTCAACTACTATAAGAATCTGAAGAAATCAATTATTGGCTTTTGTTTATTATCTATTAACATGATTTGTGCAAAATATTCTTTTCTTTATTCAGAAAATTAATCCATTGGAAAATCATCAATGAATATTTCAATATTATCAAATAAAATAAATAAAAAGAATGTACGAAGTACTGTTTTTAATTTACACTAAGATGTCGTAGCGAAATAGATTGATTTTGTTAATTTCCTAATGCTTCATAATTAGATTCACGGAAAAATGAAATTTGTTATCTATTAGAATAAAACAAAAAAATACATTATCAGAAACATTTTTTATTTCCTAGTGCTTTTTTGGAACAACGGATTGTTTTGATGAACCTGATCAATGTTCATCGACATTGAAAACAATGCATATATTGAAACGTTTTAAAAAAATACGAAACACTAATCATATGAAACAGTACGACTATCATGCAATGAGAATTTTCTTGTCAATCTGTCAGACAAATCTTCAACAATCGACATAGAACAATCAAAACGGTTGCTTTAAGAGAATAATTTCAATAACAAAAATTAATTTTCATATACTGCGGTTTGTTTATTTTACAGGATAATTCAATTAGCTCGCATTTGAAAGGCCCTATACAATAACTTGAGTCTCAAAATTGTTTGATTAACAAGTCGGTTAAAATAATAAAGCGTTGTCTTTCAAAACCATCTATGACTCATCACACAATTTTTTTATTATATCTAAAAATCGACAAAAAATCTGAATTCAAATCAAAAAATATTTTTCCTAATAATTAAATTGATTCTATCTTGGAGGGCCATCGAATTTTATTTAAATATGGCTGAACCAATCATATTCATGTGTTCTTTCCATTTCTGTTCTAAAAAAAATAAAACGCTGAAAAAAAGGGAACATATATAAATATATATATATATATTTGTCTTCATTATATGTCTTTTTAATATTTATTAGATTATGACAGTGGACACTGCGGCTGTGCCTGACAATAAAAAGAATAATCTTTCCATCGTTCGTAGAAAATTAAAAAATTTATTTTAAAAATAAACCAATAAAATTTTTTTATTCCCAGACGAAACGAGATCGAAGAGATGTCATCCGGCAGGTGCGGGAAATCACCGGCCTAGATGAAAATTCAATTAATCAAACTATCGAAGCATGTAAAGATGGAACTGGGCGCTATTCACTTGAACAAGTGATTAGTTTACTATTTGATGATTCACATGTTCGTTTGAATTTAATTGCGCTTCCTACTTTTCTATTTTCTATCTTGTCAGATTCGAAATAATCTTCAACGAGCAGCACAGCCAACAAATAATCCTTCACAACCTACATCAAATGTACCTGTAAACAATCAAATAGCCGCAGGTCCTACCTATGACCGAAATAATGAAACAATTACAGATGATGTTATTGAGCTATCACCGGAAATTGAAAATCAACAACCGACCGATGATGAACTAGAACGGTGAGGAAATTCAAGAAGAAGAATTCAAACAAAAATAATGATTTTTATTTTCTAGAGCTCTTTTATTATCACGTGAAACGATGGAACAGATCATAGATGAGTCTGATATTGCAGAAAGAAAAAATTTAGATGAACCTGCCGGATTGAAAAATGTTGGCAATACTTGTTGGTTTAATTCAGTGGTGCAAGCTCTGTATACATTGCCGTATTTTCGTCGACTTATTTTAAATTTCCAATATCCGACAATAAATCGTTCATTAGCTGATAGTGTAAATAGATTGTTTTCTTGATTCGAAAATTTTCTATTATTTCCCTTTTTAACACAATAGGAACAGCAAGCAATTTGTTTTACTGAAGAATTAAGATATTTATTTGCTTTAATGTTAAAATCTCCACGACGTTCAGTAAATCCCGATCGTGCTATTAAAAAATTTAAGAATACAAGAAAATTATGTGGAGTGGATTTTTCACATGAAGTAAACTTTTTAATGAAAGAAAAATATCAGCGAGATTTTCCTATTGTAGGATTGTTCGGAATTTGCTGCGCATCTGATCGATCTTGTTGAACTTGCTTATGAAACAATAGGAAAAAAGTAACGTTTAAAATCGTTGTAATTACTAGTTTTTCAATTACTATGATATTAGACTTGCTGTAAAAATGTTGTTTCTAAAAAGTAGACAAACTCGGAATAATAGATAGTATCGAAAAGTCGATAGAAAATTTTTATCACTTTTGAATGAGAGAAAGTGGCTTTTTGTGGGATCTTGGCTGTAAAAGTAACCATCCGCTTCATTGAATACATCAAACCATTCTAGGTTAGGTGAGCACCGCGGATTAAAATATACTGAAGAAAATATTTGTTCCCCTTTAGCTTCTATTTTACGCCTGAGAATTTCTTCTATTATCTGTTATTGAGATGATTTCGTGAAAAATTGTTTTTGGATGATAGAGTAAGTTCTAAACAGTTGTTTGAATAATGTATTCGTTCGTTCTAATTGTATCGGCTCATCAACTATTGTTCTCATTCAGTACTGTTGGTTACACATTCGTAGGAGTATGAAAGTGTTATTGATTGATCTAGTACAAAAAAAAAGAATGATTTTTTTACATAATATTTGATAAATTTGAAGTATTTCAATCGATACAAATCGCCTAGAGCAAAAAAATCAATTTGTATTGATGAACAATGTCAAAAAAAAAATATCCTTGGTAAAAATAAATGTTGAGAGTGAAAATCCCTTATATTTTAAAAGTGACTTATGACTCCTAAAATAGTTTGTATCAAGAGAAAAGAAAGAGAAATTTTATCTATTCGAAAATCCAGATGTAATAACAATTTTAAACCTTGAGATCGTCTGATTGATTTAATATTATGATTTTAATCATAATTGTATAAATATTTGAAACACTATTGTTGTGTTTTATATGCATATCTACTGTTAATTCTAGTTTATTAAATATCGATAATGCAACATCAATTAATTTTATTAATCCTGTCAATACAATTGTTAGCGGAGAAGTTATTGTTGAACGGAATGAAAATATATCCAGTAAATATTATCTTAAAAAAAGTTTCATGATTGAGTTTTATTTTTCAAAATTTAGTTCAAGAAGCTTTAAGACAAATAAATATCCAAATGATTGATTCAAGCAATATTTATGATGGTCTTGAAACTCTTTTGCTTGGTTCAGCTGATGAAAGTCTTTCTAATCAACAAGTAAATTGAGTCGTTTTTTAAATATCTTCATGTATGTATTCAAATCATTCTAAAGTCTATTGTTGAACAACGATGGTTAACACGCTTACCACCTGTGTTATTTATTTGTCTTAATCGTTACCATTTCTCACAAGCAACAAAGCAAGCGTCGAAAATCATAGCACCATTTGAATTTTATCCTGAACTCTATCTTGATCGCTATATGCTGATAAATAAAAATCTCACGTTAAATAAACGTAACATTGCAAAAACACTGTATGCTCAATTGCATGAGTTAGAAAATACATTGAACAGGTAAATGAAACGCAAGCAAAGGAAGAATCTATTTAAATTGCAATAAAATTTTGCTTATTTATTGTTTCAGTTATTTGAAATATCCATGTAATGACGAATCATTTGCACTCGCCAATGCTATTCGCGTCGTTTATGAATTTGCAACTGGTTGCCGACTTAATCCAACACCACCAAAAAGGTTTTCTATTATTAGAAATTATTTTCTTTCTATACTTACGCCTCATTACTGTGAAAAAATGTTCATCTCACTGAAAACTTTTATAGAGCGTAGAATTCAAGACCTCGTGCTCTACTGTACTAAAGATATTTTCGCATACGAACTGTAACGACTTAGTCAAAGTCGAGTGATTTTTCTACTGATGGGAGCTTTTAGTAGTGTGTTGCTTAGTCCACCGAAGCATCTCTTAGATAGACTTAAAAAGAACTTGACAAAAAAGATGTTTTCAGCTAGTTCTATTGAATCAACGCTTCTGTAAAATATTTTGCACTGACCTCGTGTTACTCCCCATAGAGAGAGACAGTTACGCATGCTGGAAATCATTGGTTGAATCTACAAGAAAGATATAGGATATTAATAATAATGTGTATCCTTCGTATGAGTTCAAACAGCGAGTAACTTTGCGTAAAATTTCCCGAATTAGTACAATATGGCTTGAAAAAAGACAGAAAATCGTGCATTTTATGATTGTAAAATCATGTTATTTTTAAGGATTGATACAATTTCTGTTGATCAAACCACAGCAAATCGTGTTCGACAACATCCACCAGTACCTATTCAACCTTCACATATATCACCTGAAGAACTTCAATTCATTCAAAATTCATTACCAGTATGGTTAACTGAAGTTGAAGCAAAATGTGCTAGTAAGTAAAATATTTTCTTTCTCTATAAAAATAGATTCATGAAAATTTCTGAATAGATATTCGGGAAGAAATTCAACGTTTAAAAAACGAATTAAAACAGTTATATGATGAAGCCCAATTAAAACAGGTTACAATGAATTTAACTAAATTTTTTATAACTAAAAAGTTATTTGTCGGGCTTCTTTTAGGTTCGGTATACATTGCATGCTGTTTGTGTACACGAAGGAAGTGCAAACCTTGGACATTTTTGGACTTATGTCTATCATAATGATCGACAAAAATGGTATCGTTATAACGATAATGAAGGTAAATCAAGAAAAACACGAATCATTATTCTTCTTTACATTTCTTATTCTAATTCAATCTAGTTTGTGAAACTACATGGGAAGATGTACTTGATGCTGGTATTGGTGGTCAACGAACACAAAACAATCGTGACGAACCACGTGTACCAAGTGCCTATTTATTAGTCTATATAAATGCTGATCAAAAATCTTCTTCGGACGGTTAGTCTTCTGTTGGAATGTTTTTCGTTTTCTTCATTAACTAAATTTTATTTAGATGTACACTATGAACTTCCTGTTGATCTTCAACGAGTTTTAGACGATGATTTAGTTTTATTACAACAACAAATCGAAAGTATTAAACTTGAACAACTTCATAGTGATTTAAAATCAATATGTGATCGTATTGATAAACAGCAAACCGTTCATCGTGTTTTAACGATTCCATTTTTCGCTGGGCCGAATGCACCTAGTGGTATGTTCAACTGCTAATCTATTTGTTTCGTGACTTTACTCAGCTGGGAAGAATTTATCATGAGACTTCCCTACTTTGCGTTTTTTTTATTTGTACAGAAGCATTGCTGCATGATAAATCTCTTTGGATATGGCTCAGTAGGGAATATCTATGGAGATTTAAAACAAGTGCTATAAAGATTTACGTTTACGTGCCTCTGTTCTTAATTGATTAGTTGGTTATAATACAAAAAACATTTTGACACATAGACTAATGAGTATGAATTTTTAACTTGCATCTCGACGTTTTCTCCTGAGTCAACAGTAAATAACTGAAATCACAAATATTTTACGGGTTTCTCTAATCTCGATAGAGTTTATCCAATAAAGAAAGAACATTCGTCATCAGAAACAGTTTAGCAGTCGATGTGATTCTTTCATAATATTCACGGGAGAATCTTGGTGATTCAAAATAATTTTTTGACTTCGAACTGCTGAGTTATTCCTTTAAAGTTATAGACGCTAAATTTACATTTTACGGAAAATTGCAATCCCTATTGTAGCAACAAGTGAACTACGATATTTTAACCTGAATTTAACTAGACATACGATTTAGATAAAACCGATCCATAGGCACAATGAAACATCAACTGATTCTTTTTGTTTTTGCACACTAGACTTTAGACTCAAATCACATTAATACTTGTGAATTTTTAATACATTGTCAAGATTAGCTTTATGTCTAGAGTACAAAGTGATTTTTAAGTTCCCAATTTTGTCATGCAATGGTTACACTTTCGAAATATGCATAATCAGAAAAAAAAGACGTACTAAAGAGTCTATCATCTTTTTAAGGGGTTAAACGATACCAAAATTGACGGAATCGAAATATATTTTTTTTTTGTAGATTCGGAAATAGTGAAGCCTGTGGTTGACTCAACATTACGCATTTTAAAAGCATATGCATCTAAAATTCTTTCAGCTGAAGTTGATCGTTTACTTCAAGAGGTGAGCTCAATATTTCGGTTCAATGAATAAAGAAAACGAATAATTCTTTGTTTTGAATTGAAATAGATTGTCGAAAAAGAAATCAAAACATATTTACATACAGCTAATATGATAACATCTGCATTACCACATAATGACTACCGTTTGCAACATATTCTTTCATTTCTGTCAGTGAATCGTGTTGATTCAATTTACCGACAACGTGTGATGTATGATATTATCAGACTTACAACTTTTCCCAATGATGATATTCGGTAAAGAATGCATAAAAATATTTTTGTTGCAAAATAAATCTTTTTTTTCTTCTTCAGATTGAGAATATTTAAATTGCAGGCACAAATTATCTGTAATGAAATGCAGATGACTAACGATGAAGTTCAAGAATATCAAGTAAAATTTGCTTTTCTCGAATAATAAAATTAAGTCTAAAACAAAAATTCTATTCATAGAAACTTCTGGTTGATTATAAAGATTTTCGATCTGTTATTGCTGCATTTCTTGCTGGTTGTCAATTGATGAATGAAGATAAGTAAGTAAAATTATCTCGTTTAGTAATTTTTAAAATACGTAAACACAAATAACAGTCTATTTTTGTTTTTTGGCTGCACATTTTCGAAATAATTAAAACGATAAGAAAATTTATTATTGACACCGAATATAAAAAGTAATCGTACGTTTTACGTCTATTTACTCTTGTCTATCTGCAGGTTACTTACTAAATAAAAAAAAGTGGAACATTAAGGGCCAAGGTTAACGATAACGGAGTAGAGACCCTGACCTTACTTTCTAAAATATTTCGAATTCAGAATACATTTTCGTCTCATGGAAAATTTTGTGCGCAAAAAAAGAAAACTGCAGATCAGTTAATCTGATATGAAACATGAAACTTCAAAAGAGTTCATGTCTTTATTCAACAATATCATTATTTAGATTTGAAGATGCAATAACATATTTTTGTGTTGCTTGCGAATACAATTTACGTCTTTCAAAACAATGTACACTACCAATGAGAGCAATGGATAGTTGTCTTTTATTTAAAGCTCGTCGATTATGTTTTGAGGTATTGTTTTTGATTGAATTTTTTCTTTCGATTTCTATCATATTTTATTCACAGCGATGGAATGATGTCGTTATAAATCGTTTTAAAACCGATCCTGATTATCGTCTCGATACAATGACACATCAATTTCTTCCTTGTTTAATGCAGCTGAAATTGAGCTCAGAAGAAGATCAAGCATACATATCAGAAATTCAACGTGTCTGGTGTTTATTACTTGATAAATTAGAACGTACGTTAAAAAAAAATTGTTTTATATTAATAAAAAAATCACTGTATTTTTGTTTTAATCCCCTTGTTTAGCTACTGAACGTTCGTTATCACTTGAAGAATTTCTTCAACGTTTACTTGAACAACCCATCGGTCAACATTATCATTCAGTATCAATTAATAAACATCAATTAGTTGAACGATACGATGAAGCCGTACGAGATCTCATTCATCGATATCCATCATTTTCAGGTAACACAACTGATCAACAACAACAATCTCCTAATCGAACAAATCGAACATCAGTTTTAACTGCGCCTGTTCAAATTCCAGTTGTTATACAACAATCAAATCGTTTACCTGAAAATATGCCCGCTATCGACCCACGTGGCTCGTCGCCCATGCAACAAGGCGATGACGAGCAAGAGTCACCATTACCACCACCATCTTCGTAAAAAAAAGACAAAAACAAAAAGGAACTACGTTTTATTATCCTTCTGTTTTATTCGATACGGTGCTATCTAATTCAGTACATTAGAATGTAGACAACAAACGGTTGTGTAAAAAATCCCGGTCTCCCATATTATGTGTACGCTTGTTGTTGATGTTGTACAAAGCCAGTGTATTTGTATCTTTTTTTTCTCTTCTCTTCTGTCCTTACGATCCTTATTTGTTGGCTCTTATCATTCGTATACAATTAAACGTAAATTTTTCTTTCGTTTTTCTTTTGTCAAACATACACGTACCTTTCTTTTGAAGAAAAAATTGAACTTATGTATTTTTTCTTATATGGGTTGATTAATGTCTTGTAGTATGTGTGCTCTTTCTTTTTCTTTATTCTCTTATCTGAGGTGATCTGCAAATATTCGACTTTTACTATAGAATGATAATGAAGACAGACAAAAAAAAGACACTTTTCATTTAAAATGCATGCGATCAGCACAAAAGAAAGCGCTCTGCGAAATCAGAACGAAATCGAAGGTCAAATATTTGTGAGCCTAGACAAACAAGAAACATTGATTAGAAACGAAAAGAAAAAATAACGATCGCCAAGAAAATGATCAGAATGTAGGAATAAGAAAAAGAGATAAATGACCGAATTAACTTGTTTGATTAGGTGCTGTATTTTTTGTTCGTTCTTCCAACACGCTCTCTCATATCTTTATGTGCATATATAAATTGAGGAAAAAAAACATACTATCTTTCTTACAATACAATCTGGTCGAGTCACAAGACAAACGCATAAAAATAGTACTATAACAGAGAGGTGTGTTTGCTTATCATCACTTTTTTCGTCTTTTATTAAGCAAACAGGACTGAGAGAAAATGGAAAGTTTTTTGGCTAATCGACCTGACGCAGCAAGTCGTTGTACGTATACTGTCAATGGTGAAAAAAGTAAGTGCCCACATAATCTTGGCACTAGGTTAGTTTACTATTCGAGACAAATCTTGTTTGTTAATTAACTGACTTTCAATCTAGACAAAAGTCAGTTAGTCAAAAGATCTATAATAATGTTCTTGAGTTAATTGGTGATACACCACTTGTACGTATCAATCGTTTGTCACGGGATTCTGGTGTCAAATGCAATCTTTGTAAGTCATTGAGTTCATCGTTTGAACTCAAAATCTATATGTATGTATTTAGTGGCTAAACTTGAATATTTCAATGCTGGCGGCAGTGTAAAAGATCGAATTGGTCTACGTATGGTTGAAGAAGCCGAACGCGCTGGAGTATTAAAACCAGGTGATACAGTTATTGAACCAACATCTGGTAATACAGGCATCGGATTAGCACTGGCATGTGCTGTGAAAAACTATCGGTGCATTATTGTCATGCCTGAAAAAATGAGCAAAGAAAAAGTATTGGAATACAAATTAGTTTGATGTGCTTTGCAATGCTAATATGCGATTGTTTAGGTTGATGTACTTCGTGCATTAGGCGCTGAAATCATTCGTACGCCAACAAGTGCTTCGTTTGATTCACCTGAATCGCATATTGGTGTGGCACATCGTTTGAAAATGAAAATTCCTAATTCACACATTCTTGATCAATATCGAAATCCATACAATCCAATTGCTCATTATGATTCGACTGCTGAAGAAATTCTTGAAGCATGCAATGGTAAAATTTTCATTTGTAATAAATGTTGAAATGGACTCATCGGTAACTTTGTTTTTCTAGGAAAAGTCGATATGATTGTTGCTGGTGCTGGCACAGGTAAAACTCATTTGTAGAAACATATCATTTTTCGAAGTCAGTTCTTTCTTTAAGGAGGCACATTGACTGGTCTATCAAGAAAATTAAAAGAAAAATGTCCAAATTGTATTGTTGTTGGTGTTGATCCAGAAGGTTCAATTTTGGCATTACCTGAACCGTTGAATAATACAGGAATTTCGTTTTATGAAGTATTTATTTTTCATCATTTTCTTTATTTAAATATTAATTACGATTTTTCTTTTTCTTTTTCTTTTTGAGGTCGAAGGCATTGGGTAAGTAAATCTCTGAGGATTAACAAAAAAGAATAGAAGATGAAATATTCAAATAGATACGACTTTATACCAACTGTACTCGATCGATCATTGGTTGATCGTTGGTATAAGAGTTCAGATCCTATTTCACTTAAATGCTCGAGAAAATTAATTAAAGATGAAGGGATACTTTGTGGTGCTTCGTCCGGTTCAGCTATGTCATGTGCCATACAGGCCTGCAAAGATTTTAATTTAACTGAAGATCAAAATTGCGTTGTAATTTTACCGGATTCTGTTCGGAATTATATGTAAGCATTTTTGTTTTGTTTTATATGAATTTGTTTTCATTGGTTCATTTAGGACTAAATTTTTGAGCGATGATTGGATGCTTGAACGCGCTTTTCTTGATATTAAAGATGAACCTAATACTGAATGGTGGCATTCAATGCCTGTATCAACTTTACAATTTCGTGAACCTGTTACAGTTTCATCAAACACAACAATCCAAGCAGTACTGGATATAATGTATGCCAGAGGTTTCGATCAAGTACCGGTCATATCCGATGATGGGTAACGTAGAAAGTTTTCTTTTAAAAATATGATCTACATGGATTATTACAGTAGTGAAAAATTATTAGCTGAATCAATTTCTGAAGGCTAAAATTAAAGTTTAATGGAAAACTGTTTTGCAACAGATAGAAAAAATGTTCTTTCGGTAGCTGACAAGAGTAGCAACATCATGTGTCATATTTTCATCGTCGACGCATTTCAATAAACATTCTTTTTTCTTCTTCTATTCATAGAACCTTTGTGGGTATGACAACTATGTATGAGATAATGGCAAAAATGTCACGTAGTACAGTTAATGCTCAAGATCCAGTATCGAAAGCTGTAACGGATAAATTTCGAACGGTAAATTTCTCTTGTGTTTGTAAATTTTTTGTAAACTTATGAATTCTGATAGGTTCAATTGAACGATAGTTTGGCAAAATTAAGTCGTATTTTAGAAGCACATAATTATGCGATCATTAAATTTGCTCATGATCATTGTAAGCAGATGGATCTTTGTTTGCAACAGTAATCCTGTTCATTTTTCTCATTAGTAGATCAAGATCAGTCAACGAGACAAAACAAAACACATATATTTGGTATAATAACAAGTATTGATTTACTTGATTTTATTGTTAAAAACAATAAAAACGCTGCAATAACTAATGGCTTTCATCACGAAGAGAAAACAAATTCTGTTGTTTCAAAATAAAGTGAAGCTTTGCAATAGATGAAATCAATACGGTCAACCGGAAACAATCTTTTTTCTCCAATTTAAGATCAATTCGCATGCTTTGCTTTTTTCTCCTTTTGTTGGAATAAAATAAGAAAAATAATATTCATCGCTTAAATTTGATACTTGTTTATAACAGAGGCCAATACAAAAATCAGCATAAATATGTCTTTCGTATTGCTCAAAGTACTTGTTGTAAACGCATATCATAGAGAAGAATTGATTTCGCTGATGATGAGCTACAATAACAGGTCATTTTCGAAGAGAATGTACAAAAACGTTCTGCTTTTCCAAGAAATTTTCGAGTTTCTCGATTACTTTCTCAGTTGTTATTAAAAGTTCTGTTCAAAAGAGGAGATTCTTTTCATGAGTTTAGAAATATGTATGCGAAGTTTTCTTCTTTCAATTTCAAGTCAATATCTATTGTTTTTATTAATTTATTAAACTTCTATCTATCCCTGTTTAATTTGATTTTGAATAGAAATTTATTATTTAAAATGTTTCTTTTTTTTTTATTATAAATGAATTTCAAAAACTATTTCAATCATTTGAATAATTTATAGAATTCAATAGCATTTTAAATTAGAATATGAACGAAACTGAAACAAACATCTTACTTAGAATAGAATAAAGCTAAACTAATCGAGTATTCATAAGATGAACCGTATACAACAACAAACAATAAAGTATTTAAAAATCATTGGAACTATTTGGATGGCTGAGAAGTCGATATTTAACATGCCAAAAAAAGAAAATAATCTTAATTAGAAACCAATGAAGAGTAATTAAATAATCTTACTTCAACCATTTTATGAGTTTAATTAATTTTTGAATTAGTTATTATAATTCCTCTATAAACACACTATGTTGCTGCAATTTAATCTAGGAAAATCTAATTTAGATAATTAAGATCAGCACCTAATGAAAGTGACCGAAGATATTTACAAATAGCTGCATTGTAAAATTGCTAGAAAAAGAAAACTTTAAAATTGAAACAAATTTGAATATCTCCTAAATAGTCTTGTTCATATATGCTTGCCCAAGTCACCCGATCCTGCCGGGACCCATCGGAACCGGCAACGAATCACTGCTCCCAGAATCCGGGCCGGAATTCAAAGGAAAATGGTCCGGTCGTTTCCTGCCGGATAATACAGCCAGAAAAAAAAGAATCGTATCGGCAAAACACAAAACGAATAATCAAAAATATAAGAGCAATGTAAAGTTCTATCATAAGATTGCAAATGTTAAACGACGTGGTTTTATTTTTTTTCCAGTATTTGATAATTTCCTCTTTTATTTCTTTATCTAAAATATTTGCATTTTCTATTGGTTGACTTGCTCGGTTGTGAAGGGTGTGGATCTTTTCATTAACTACAAAACCCACACCCTTCTGCAAACCTGTTTATTTAGGAATATTGAATTTTTGTACTCGATGATTTCTATTATCGACGACATAGAGATTAACGTGCCGATCGAATGATAAACCGACAGGCTGATTGAGTTGGTCCGATTGTCCTCTTCGATCATTTCCACCCACAATCACACTTCTCTGTGTAGCTCCTTTGGACCAACCCAGGTCGAGGGTTATGAAGTCCATAAACGACCTCCGTATATCTCCGTCAAAGATCGTGAGTGTTCGACCTGGTTCGTGACGAAAAATAGTAATTTCAATTCATGTGTTAGAAACGAAACTCATGATTACGATATAAATAATAGACTTCGAGAAAGCCATTAATCAATGATTTCAATCGAATAAATTCACTTGGATGATATCGACACGCAACTCTTATGTTAGATAATTTCAATTTGAGCATAACAACTGGCAGTTGCTGTTGTGTACAATTAATTAAATTTCATTGTGTATTGTTGACTGTAATCCCAGGTCGAACATACACGGTCGTATACGACGGTAAATCGCCGTATTTGGCCGTATTACATGGCTCCGTATTACGATCGTAAATCTCCGTGCCGTATACGGCGAAATACGGCGCTTTACGGTCGTTTTTGATCGTATTTCACCGTATTACGACACGGAGATTTACGATCGTAATACGGAGCCATGTAATACGGCCAAATACGTCGATTTACGGTCGTATACGGCAGAAAACGGCCGTATACGGCCCGTATTTCACCGTATACGGACGTCGTAAAGCTCGTCCTGGGATGGATTTCTATCGCTTTTCTATTCTCAGTTAAAAACAAACAACAATTTACTTTCTTTGACTCAATGGCTATTTATCCAATAAAACCAAAACATTCTCTGCATTCACAATAATCATAAAAAGAAAAAATAACTATTTAAAAAAAGATTCCTTTCAATTAGCAGATGATGAACTTCTTTCTTTTGTCCAATCTTTGCATATTAGTTTATGTCCTCGTTTCCATGCTTGTTTTTGGCAATTCGGTGAACAATACCAGGCATTACGACATCGACTACATGCTGGAAATGGTTTACGATATGGTATATTACCATTTGTTAGATTTGGATTTGGATTATCAATACTAGGTGACAGTAGTTTACACTCTGTACATGAATATGCATCATCACCTTCGAATGCACATCGTTGACATTCACACCAAAAATTATATGCACGTTTAAGCATAGCACGACGAGCACGACGTCCTAGTGCTAGGTCAACATAATTTATGGTTAATTCATCACCTGGTTTAAGTTGATGTTTACAACGAACCTTATCGCGAAAGAAGAAAGATAATTATAAATTCAAAGTTTAAATAGAAATTTTTGTTCTACCTTAATACCAGCAACTTCTGGCGTAACTTGACAATCCATTATTTCACAAGAATTGTCACATGAATGATTTAGTGAAGATTGAAGAGGGAAAAGACCGCCGAATACTTGATCAGCAGGTTCTCCTTTTAAATACGGTTGTAATGTTACATATAAACCAGTTCTATCATGTTGTCGAACATTTAATAAGAAACGTGTGTATAGAGTTGCTGCATAATTCGGTGATGAAAAACTTTGAGCATTACACGCTATTTGATAAAAACGATATGAGAACTCAAGCTCATTGAATTCATATTGTATTGGCATTGATGGATGATTAAATATATTGTGCATTAATTTGAGCATACGTGGAATTGTACGAACATATGTTGGATCACCTGATGATATAAATTCAGAAAAGATTTCTTTAGCTTGTTCCAAAGGACCATCGTTTGTTTGTTGAAATTGATGTGCATAAGTCAAATCGACACCCTTTGAACTAGTTCCATCTTGACGAAAGAAAGGAAAAAATGCGTTGTTTAATCAAGACAAAGCTTAAATTGTCCTATACAAATATTTGCAACAGGCATTTTCTGTTCATCCCATGAAATAATGAACAGCTGTGATGATAATATTAAACTTGCCGATGAATCTTACGGATGAGATAAGTACGTTTGGAAATAATTTGAAAGCTTTCGAAACTATATTTGAAATTAGTAAATATTTTAGAGTTTCGGATGAGACAAAAAAGAGCTGAGTGTTTGTTTTCTATCATTTTTAGATCGAGCTCTTCTACAAAATCAAGATACCAATTCGATAGAATGAACGAATAAATTCAGATCGCGAGTTTTTGAAAAATCTATTCACGATCAATCACGTAGTTTCAACTGATCAATGACTCAAATGTTACTTTAACAAAGCATGGATAACATGACGTGTGTAATTCGATAGATCTGCGACGCTTCCAACTTAAAAATGGCATGGTGACCGTGACCTAGTGAAGTTAGCCGTCAGCACTCGAACCCTTAATCAACAAAAGTCGGAACATTATTCTTGGAAGAGAAAATGACAATTCTCAAAATAATTGTTGTCTCGATTGGTTATGATAAATAAGAAATAGCTTACTTACTTTGAACAGAATTAACAACATGAAGAACAATCATTGCTATCAGTTTAGCTAAAATCATTGGTGAAAAAATTGAATTCCACGTTCCTCGTACGATTATTTGTCTACTAGCACAAAACTGAAAAAGTTCCATAGTTTCAGGATTTGTTGATGGGCATAAAATCTTATGATAACTATCCCATGCTTGTTGACGACATGTTTCTGAACAATATAATTCAAATGGACAAAATGAACATGGTACAAGTGTAATAGGTGGCCAATATTCTTCTATTTGTCGTTGTAATTTCTCTGGCATACGTGACCATGTGGTTTCAAAATAAACAGCTGGAGTTAGTAAAGATGTTGTACATGTTGCGCATGCTGGTGATATTGATAGAGTATCCACTGTTTGTGCATGAACAAGAGGAATGTCGGTAA